CGCCCTGTGAGCGCAGACACCCCTGTAGATGGACACTGCTCAGGGGGCAGGGTGGCCCTTGTCATACCTAGAGCATTTGGGTCCGTGCCCAAAGTACGGCCAGGCAAGTGACGACTCTTGCAGGTGGTAAAATCTGCCCCTCATGGCTGTTGGGGTCAGGTCCCCTTTTTCCCCGCAGGCGAGCTGCATGTTGGCCGTGTCGATACGGGAGAGAAACCACCGGGAAAGCTTCCAGAGCTCGTTGGTGACTGGAACCGTACTGGGAAGTTTCCCTGGAGCCAGCGCCAGGTCAGCCCAGAGACTGAAAAAGCGACAAGGGACGAGGCTCTGGTGGGTCGGTGCGACGCAGTTGGTGGCGCTGCCGTCTGTGGGGAGAAGCTTTGCTTGGGAGCAAGCTTAGGGATGGGGAGGAAAAACTTGCAGGAGCCAAAACTCTGCAGTTCTGTTCTTGCAAATGGAAATACTTGGAATTTCAGATGGACGCTGTCGTAGCTGAGCTAGCGCAAAACATTTCCACATGAAAACTCTTATTTCAGTTTGAACTAGGATCATCCTATTGTAACAACAATCCCTTCTAGTTCTGTGCTGAACTGGAACAAACTGCTGCTTTTTGTTGTGAATATGTGTAGTCTCCTTACCAAGAACCTGAAGGCTGATTCAGTCTTTATCAAATCATTATCGCTCCCCTGCTTTGCCTGTGTGTATATGCAGGCATCTCCCTTTGTTTCTGCACAGCTTGGGGTTTGTCCCCAGAACCCACTCCCGGCCCAGCCTGTCTGCTCCTCAGCTGTGCTCTCTCTTGTAACCACCCAGGAACCTCAGCTTTTTCCCCTTGAAAAAACCGATTTTCATTCTCTTAGCAGTTAAGGAAAATAATTTTTTAGCTCCCAGTGGAAGCTTTCAGCTTTGGTGTCAAACAATTTTCCAAACATTTTCAGAACCTGTGACCCGAGCCCTCCCATGCTGGTCAAGGGGGTGTGCTCCTGCCTTGGTAAAGGACTTCCTCTGCCAGAGTGACGGTGAGATGGAGGCATCTGGGACAGAGCTTCATTTGTGATAATAACAGCCTGAAGTTTTTGGAGTTAATTCAGGAACGAAGCTGCCATAATGACATGGCAATACGCTTCAGACAGTTCTCGGAACAGGCAGGTTGCAGTTTTTCTGTCCCCACAATCCTTTGCGCTCACTCTCCTCTCTGATCAGCATTTATTCCCCAAGCCCTGTCCTGGGGGAGGCTGTGTAGACTTGCTCGCAAGCTTTAATCGCTGCAACCCAAAATGAGAAGAAACACAGGGAAATATGAAATATAGATTCTTACATCCATTGAATCTGTAGAGCTGAGGAGCAACAGCTGATTCATCAGGTCTGCCTGAGAATTTGGGGCTCTTTTTCACAGCTCTTTACAAGACTTCAATTTTAATCACTTTTTCTTTGGTGCCACTGAGTTTTTCCGCCTCACAACCATGACCTTTTGTTGCGGTTTTCAAAGGGAAAGGTCGCAAAAACGACGAGAACTTATCTACGTGTAGATAAGCAGGCACTTCTTCATTGCAGCACTGTGGAAGCACAAGAATCACCTAATGCTTCGCATATATCACAAAAATTCAGCCTATTTATACACTTTTTATGAAAAATTATTTTAACATAAACATGCATGCAATGCCCGCTATTAATTTTGACCTTTATAAGGATTGGTTCAGCCCCTATTAATATTCATATATCTTATTTCTGTACAATCATCGGTCATTGCGGTGAGACCACATCTGATCACAAAGCACACAAAAAAATAGCGAGGCATGCCCACGTATATTGATCTGTCTAAGTGATATATGCTGGTATTATTAAGGTGCAGGTACAGCGCTATAGATCGGGCTTTGCCAAGTACAAAACAACCCTCTCCACTACACCACCATCATGAGTGGAAAACTGTGCTCAGCTCTGATTTGGCTCTTGAATGGGTGGCTTTCTGACTGCCTTTTTGCAACCCGTTCTGCTGTTTAGACTGCATTCTGCGGTCCCAACATCATCAGTCGCTTCTACCATGACCTTGGGCCACTGCTGAAGCTGGCTGGTACTGAGACCCACCTGACCGAAAGGCTTGTTTTCACTGTTGCTGCAGTGATTCTGTTTCACATTTCCTTTTTAACCATGTCCTACTTTGCCATCCTTTTTGCCATATCGAGGATCCCACCTGCTTGTGGGAGACAGAGCGCTTTCCTCACCTGCTTTGCTCCGTGAGTGCAGTCATCCTGTTTCTGGGACAGTCGCATTCATTCCTGTCAGGCAAACATGGACAAGTGGTACCCCTGCTGAGCACCCTTGTGATGGTGCTGCTGGACCATTTCATTTATATTTGGAGGGACAAAGAGGTAAAGACTGACTTCAAAAAGTCAGTGACTCGAAATAAAATATTTGAGGTTAAAGAATGAGAAGTAAAAAGGTGACCTATCTGCAGGCTCCTGTAGCAAATTGATTCTACAGGCCTCTTGGGAAGTATTTTTTGACAAAATATTTTTGGGAAGTATTTTTTATAAGGAAGTCAGATGATTTAGATCATGATTAGCCAGGCAGAGATAATACCTCCTGACTGGGTGAGCTGTGGACAATACTTGACTTGTAAAACTCAGTTGCCTGTACTTCCACTCTTCTATTCTAAGATTACGCTTTCAAGTCTTTTCCAATTTTTCTTAGCAATCAAAGCAAAAGTTGAAAATTAAATGATTCGCTGCCATTTGCTGTATTTATTTGTCACTATGAAAGAGATATTTCACAATGACAACATTTATTTCTTATCAAATAAAGAGGTTGAGGGTCTTGTGTTCATGTTTGTTGTGGCTCTGCTGATCTTTAACATAGCAAAATTACTGTAGACGAGCATAAGCAATCCTGCTCATTATGTATGTTCTGCATCATTTATGTGATTTATGTGACTGATGTACAGTGGCTCCCTCCTTTCTGACATGGTGATCCTAATGGAGAATACTGATTTTCTTATTGCTTCATCTGCTTCTCTGCATAATTTGAATCATATGATTTCCTTTAATTAATCATTGCTTGAACTAAACCAAAGATCAGACCAGTATGTCTTCAACATCATCATCATAGAATGGCCTAGGCTGGAAGGGACCTTAGAGATCATTTAATCCAACCTCCTTGTCTATAGAAAAGGTTTCCTGTATGGTTGTACCAATCATGGCTGAAGGGTAGATACCCTCATTTAGGTAGTCACCTCTCTTGCCAGCTCACCTTTGAAGGAAAAACTCAGCTGGTATTCATAGGCAAAATGAATTTTCATAAGGAAGTACTTTTAAGGAGAATTCATTTGAGAAGGAAAAAAAACCCTCAAATCCTTTAAAGTCATGGTTAGAGATTTTTTGCCTGAGGATTTTTATAGACATTTCTGCCCTTGGAAACCTCCCACTCCGGTGGGAGCAACCATGGAGAGTCACAGACAGGATCTACCCACCATATGTTTCAGACGAGCGTTATGCAGTTTCATGTGGAGTCACAACAGAGTGAATAGTTTTCACACAACCGTAGAGTCTTTCAGAATCCAAAGTCAAAAACATTCCATGTTTCCAGGTTATTACAGTTTCTTTTGGCATGTTCCCCCTGCTCACCTTCCCTGGAATTGTGTGACATGTCCTATTCAAAGACGTAAACACAGAGCAAAAGACAACACAGAATAAGCACTTAAAAAAAATGCCAAACCACCCTCTGTCATTGGTTTCATGCTAGATAAGCCTTACCACAGTTGTCTACTGTATTTTGAAAAAGAATAGCTTGTAACAAGATGCAGCATGTATCCAATTAATGAAATGGATCAACATTATTACAATCCGTTTCGGAGAAGGTGAATTATAAGATTGTAACAATTGTGTTATTTATCAGTTACAGATTATTTTTTCTCTGCATGTAATATGCAGCCCACTTTTTCAACAGAATTCATACTTCAGACAACCATTTTCTAGGTGTTTTCTGAGGAAAACCCACTGAAAATAATGGTACCCTGCATCAATTCTGTTCCTGATATATCACAAGCTAGATCTCTGCAGTCTTTGCAGGCAATGGTTGGAGTCCCTGCATCAGTGTGTAATTCTCTAGTGGGAACACCCTTGCATAACGCTTCCCTCCAAAATCTATGGGGGAAAAAGGAGGTATGTTCTGTCTGTAACAGGAGTTCAGATTTTTAGATGCCTGGATGTAAGCATCTTAAGCTGAATTCCAGACAGGTGTAATACTTCTGTAATTCAGACAAAAAATAAACAAGGAAAAGATGGATTTTAATTTGTTTCTGTCTGAATTGTCCCATGTAATCGTACCTCTGCGCCACAGCCTGCCGGAACTCCACAATTGTGATCCAGTGCTTCTAAGGGTAGGTGGAAGGTGAGAGCATCCGCTTCATTAAGGTTATCTCTTCAACGATTTTTCAAGGCAAAAGGCAACAGTTAGTAAAGGGACAAGAGAGAAAAGTACAGAGACACAAACCTGGTAGAAAAGAGATAAGTGGAGACAATGACAAAGTCAGTAGCTACTAATTAACGGGCCATTAAGAAACTCCAAGCACAGCTTTGGAGAGGTTCCCCTGGACAAGCTGGCGAGTAGGGGCTGGTGGGGTGGGATCAGAGGCCGGATCCAGGCAGGGAGGCCAGGCAGACGGGGGCTCTGCTGACGTTTGGGGGATCCACGAAAGTGCATGTGAATCCAGACAGTGTCCTATGGGTGCCGGCACTAGTGACCTGTCCCTGCCGCAGAGGAGAGGACACCACTGTCTGTGCTCCTGTGTGATGTCAGTCCTCTGCGTGGGTGCTGGTGATGGCAGTGCCTTGGCTGTGGCAGTGGGTGCCTGGCCTTGTTGAGGTTTTCAAAGGGAAAGGTCGCAAAAACAACAGAACTTATCTACACGTAGACAAGCAGGCACTTCTTTATTGCAGCGCTGGGAAGCTTGGAAATCACTCAATGCTTTGAATACCTCACAAAGATTCAATCTATTTATACACCTTTTTACAAAGGTTAAAATCTTTAACATATTTTAACATAAACATGCATACAATGCCTGCTATTAACTCTAACCTTGACAATGATGGGTTCAGTCCTTATCAATATTCCTGTTTCCTATTTCCATACAATTGTTGGCCATTGGGGTGAGACCACATTTGATCACAAGGCATAAAATAGGCGGACAGGGAGATAGATAGGGAGATGGGGAGGCATGCCAGTATGAAATTCGTGTATTGATCTTTCTAAATGAAATATGCTGGTATTGTTATTAAAGTGCCAGTGCAGTGATATCGACCTGGTCTTAACAAGTACAAAACATTTCCTGCCAGTCTTGCAAAACATTCCCTGCCAGTTTTGCAACTTGCACCAGCTCTAGCTGTAGCCAAGGCCTACACACAAGGACTTCTTAGCATAAGTAGGGGTTTATATTCCTTATCCTAATATAAATCAATAAACTAATTTAATTAAAATGGTAATTAGCTATTCATTAAGCAATTAGCTCCTTAAAACTTAAGTTTGATTACAACAGCCTCGCCAGTGTCCTCTGGGTGAGTCTGTCTGGGCACGTCCATGTGCCTCTGGAAAAAGCTCACCTTCACTGAGGGCTGAACCTGCGGCAGAAAGTTGCAGCTGCATCCCTCGGGCTGGTCAGAGGCCCCAGGTCCCCAGGAGATGGGCTGGGCTGCTGCAGGTGGCAGCCACTCCTAATATCCCTTTGGAACTCCTGCACTTATCCTGACTGGAGACCCTCGTACATCGAGGAGTCGCTGCTGGCCATAGTGCAGTGCTGGGCTGCACGTGTGCGTGGTCCTCGGGGCTGTGGTGGGCTGCACAGAGCCCTCGGCTGCAGGATAAACTCAGCAGCTTGTTTTAACCCTGGAGTCTGTGGGCAGCTCCCAATTGGTACCAGTGATTACACTGCCTCCATGGCCTTGCCTTTGTCTAACTGTGGAGCAAAACGTTCTCTTGTGAACATCCTTTCTGTCTGAGGGTAGAAATGGTGGATATAATTTTTTTCATTCTAAAAATCCTATGCCAACTCAAATGATCAGAACAGAGTAATCCTTCTGTTGACAGGATGTCCATGGCATGCTGTGTGTTGATCAGAGAGGTGCCTTTGAATCTTCATGGCTTAATGTTTGTGGTATGTGAAGTGATGCAATTTTATACCAGCCTCCCCTCTATAGTGTTAGCTCTAATAAAGAGCTTCTTAGATGGTACTTGGCACAGTGTGTGTCTTACTGGGATCGTAATGAACTAGCAATCCCTGGTTCAGAACACCCTCTGATGCTTCTCCTGTCTTAATGACTAATTTCACAGTCACTTTCTTAGCTTAGAAAAGACAGTGAGAAGAGTGAAGACGTTAACAAGCATCTTATGAATCCTCCAGATGGGCACTTGCCACAGTTGGAAGAAAACCAGAAAAATAAATGAAGTTCTAAGTTTCCTTTTAAAACAACAGGTGTCAAAACAAATTCCCACCCAAAATGAACACCTGTTTCCTTAACACTCAAGCACTTTCTTTCATTCAGCAGTCAACTTTTATTTGCACAAGAAAGACACTGTTTTCATCTGCTCTCAACAGAGAAGCCTAAGATAAAGGCATGTTTACATAAATTTATGTTTTGGACTTCACACACAAACAATGTACAGCAATGGAGATGTCCAAGTGATAACCTCTTACTGCAGCAGAAATCTAGCTTAGAACACATACTCTGTATTTTTACTTCATCTGTTTCACCCTATTCAATACCAGTGGAGAATCAGCTTCTCAGCTCAGCCATAGCCCTCTTTGTCCAAGATATTTGAAGAAAAGCCATTCAGGCCTGCAAATAAACGTTCCTTCACAAAACAGAGATGAAGAGCATGTCCAGGAAGTATCTTAAACAGAACTCACCAGAAGACTGATGTCTTCGATATTTTTAGAGTGCTTCTCACTAGGTCTGTTGCCCTCTGCTTTGATAATTTCTTCTTCTCACCACTGTGCAATTATTTTTAGATAAGCTTCACAGAATGTTTTCACAAGAGTTGGAGAAAATTTTTAAAGTTTCATCTTACCATGGGTAAACACACCTTCAAAGTACAGAACTGTTTCTGTGCGGACAGGCAAGACAGAGAATGACGTAGAATGAAATTCATTTGATCTGTATGCCAAAAATACCTTAAAATGACCTGAAAAATTATCTGAAAAATACCTCTTAAGAGATAAAAAAACCATGAATAAAAAAAAAATAGATGTGGAATTATCTGGAGGATTGACTGAAGAGCCACAGAGTAGATACAAATTTTTGGTAAGTGATGGCAAGTCATGTCACCCTTCCAGTAATTCACAGAATGTCAAAGCTGTTGCTAGATTTGATTTAATATAATTCATAAACATATCACATATTTATACTTCTGGTGATTAGTCTTTTCAAGGCTTGTTTCATCTCTTTCTTCCTCAAACTGTAGATCAAAGGGTTCATCATTGGAGACATCAGTGTGTAAGAGAGAGAAAGCAGTTTGCTGCTGCTGCTTGAATAAAAAGCTTTGGGTCTCAAGTAGGTCACGATGCCAGATCTGTAAAACAGAGTCACCACAACCAGATGAGATGAGCAGGTAGAGAAAGTTTTTCTCTTGTCCTCAGCTGATGGCATCTTGAAGATGGTGTGGAGAATCTGGATATACGATACGACTATAAGTAAGAAGGGGACCAGGATGAGGAGGACAGTTATTATGTAGGTGGTGATTTCGTTCTTGTAGGTGTCCACACAAGCCAACTTCAGCAGGGGCAGCAGATCACAGAAGAAGTGATTGATCTTGTTGAGTCCACAATACGGAAGGGTAAAGATGAAAACCGTCTGCCCTAAGGCCACCAAGACCCCGACCAGCCAAGACGCAGCTGAAAGCAGGAAGCACATGTTCCAACTCATCATGGTTGTGTAGTGCAGGGGATGGCATATGGCCTCATAGCGGTCATAGGCCATGGCAGCCAGCAGGCAGCATTCTGTGATCCCTAAGAGGGAGAAGATGTACATCTGACTGGCACAGCCCAGGAAGGATATGCCCTTGCTTTTGGTGAGGAAGTTCACCAGCATCTTGGGGATCGTGGTTGTAGTGTAGCCAATCTCCAGGAAGGAAAAGTTCTTGAGGAAAAAATACATGGGGGAGTGAAGGGCAGCATCTACCATAGTGATCACAAAGATAAGAGTGTTTCCCACCAAAATACTGAGGTACATGAGCAATACCAGACAAAAGAGAGAGCCTTGGATCTCTGGGATGCCGGAGAAAGGTAAAAATTGGAAATAGGTCACCACTGTGTGGTTCCAGCTGGTCATGTCCCTCAGGGTTTTTTAAATGCAGAAATCATTACATATCCCTTTTCTAATTAACCTAGAGAAATAAAAAAAAAATAGCAAACTAAATATCTGCCTATGAATCTCTGTAATAGGACAAGATCCAAAAGAGTCAGTGACATTTTACTGATGTGTTTTGGTGGTTTTAGTGCTAAAGATAGTTTAGAGAAGGGAGGGAAGGTGCTTCCCTTCACTCAGCTTTTCCTAAGAAAGAACAGCCTTTCCCAACTAGCGTACCTCACTTCTAGTCGACGGAAAGGAAGATATGTCTTCTTTATGAAGGTCGGATATTTTATATTTCCTTCAGGATGAGCATTGTACTCTGCTCCCCAGTCTTTGAAGTGGTCTTCTCTCCCATTATCTACCCCAGGTCTGCTACCCTAACACGTGCTGCTAAGCAAGGAAGGCTGATCCTTAAACCCCAGAAATGACTGATTTGTTGATAGAGCAGGTTTTTGGCAATGAGTTGCTCTTGCTGTCGTGCTGTGGATGGGGCTCATTCTAGACAGCAATCACCGACTGAGCACAGATAACCCTGTATACACTCCACAGTGCCACACATGGTTGCTACCATCAGCGTGTGTCTTCATTTCCGTCCCACCTGCTTACTACAGAGAAACAAAAGTAGTACAAGTCCTCCAAAACAGATAAAACTGAGAGCACATGCTACGATTTTTTTTCCCCCTTGTGGTTAGATTCTCTTTGGAGATACTCAAATTCTGATGGCATGTGGCCATGAGCAGTGTGCTCTCGCTGACCCTGCTTTGAGTGGGGCTGTATACTGGGTGATCTCCACTCTTTCTGTGTGGATGGACAGGACACAGAGAATATGTCAGCCTGAAATTCAGTTGAGCTGGATGCCAAAACTACCTTAAAAGTGACACGAAAAATAGTGTGAAAAATGATTTCACAGAATCGTGGAGCAATTGAGGTTGACAATCCAAGCCAACCACAACTGTTCCGTGATTTTGTGAAATCAAGCTTCTTATAGAATGGTACACATACTATTTTCCTCTTTTAATTTATTCAAAACCTAGAAGGAGCTGGGGGTTTTTTAACATTTAGTTTTCTTTTACACATACATTGTAGTGGACAATTTCAATTCAAAACAACTGCTCTGGTCTTCTTGGTATAATTTGAATGGAATGGGGGACATAATCAAACCCAAAGCATACACAGGCACATGTTTGCATGTGTACATGCAGACACAAACAGAGTGAACCCTGAGCATTATAATCCTTTCTTATTAATAATTAGAACAGAAAAATACTAAAGAATGTGGATTAATATCCAAAAAACTACCTTTGTCCCAGGCACTCTTCAGGAGAAGGAGTTCTTTTTAAGATTAAAGAACGTCTTGGAATTTGTTTCTATTCCAATAATCCATTCACTTCACAGACAGATGAGTCTCCCACCAAGCAAAACACTGTGTAGAGGCAGAAGAACAATAACATGTGGAAGAAGAGAAAGAAGACTGAAGTAAAATCAGGTAGCTCACCAGCCATTAGGAGAAGGCTGTGATTGATGTTTCTGGAAAAGCCACATCACAAACATTGAGTATTTCAATGTGTTTATACTCCCAGTGGAAAATAGTCTGTTGGGTATTGATTACTTGCAATTACACGAGACAGTTATTTTTTCCTCATTGTTTAAATGCAACAAAACCTCTCTCTGGTTCTCCTGTTAGCTCCTGGAAAAAAAAACAGTATAAGAAAGATCTATAGAGTAATTGCATATCTCTTTTAATCTGCTACTTTTAGCCAGTCACAGTCCTGGAGGTGATCCCACCAAACTTTAGGGATACAAATTTAATACAGAAATAAACTAGAGACCAGACAAAGGAAGAAGGCTTTGCAGGAGGTGAGAATGTGCATAGCTCATGTCTAACACTGGCTTTAGCCTTTATAATTAATGGTGAAGGACAGGGCCCTCCATGGGAGATCTCATCCTGTTGGCTCAGACAGGCCCTTCAAATTGTCTTTAGATTCGTAGAAAGGCTTGGATTGGAAGAGAGGTTTGAAAATCATCTAGCACAACCCTCCTGCCATGAGCAGGGACATCTGTCACTTGAGCAGGTTGGTCAAAGACCTGTCCAACCTGACTTCACAGAATCACAGAATGTGAGGGGCTGGAAGAGACCTCAAAAGATCATCTAGTCCAGCCCCATTGAACCCTTTCAATGATGGGGCAACCTGTTCAGTGTTTCACGGCATCCTGGCCTGTATCAGAAATGGTGTGACCAGCAGGAGGAGGGAGGTGATCATGCCCCTGTACTCGGCACTCGTGAGACCTCACCTC